CAGAATAGGCTTGAATACACACTGTAGCGTGCCTTAAAGTGAATGCAGTAACATTTACATATAACATTCTCTAGTGCATATTTATTAATCAGATTTATTATATATGGTAACGAAGAAGGTTACAGTGGCCAAGCATACTGCCATAACATGAGACAAGCCATGAACACCTCAACTGCATAACCAGAACGTAATTCTCAAGTGGTGTGATTTCAGCTCTCTCATTTAGACACGCCTCACATTCCTGCCCACGATGGATCAGTACGAAAACTCTGTATGAAGAGTCCCTGATTGCATGGGAACTTATAACAGTATTCAGAAAAGGATCCAACAAGGTGGAAGACTGGCTAGTCAGAAACATACAATGGTTTCTCCAAATTTTCCAAGGCCATTAGGAGAGGTCATTTTGCACATGCCACTGGCCAAGGGGGAGGCTCCAAGTACGTTTTAACCCAGCAACCGGGCACCATTCCACAACCATCTGCACAGGTCAAGGGCACTCATCCTACCTGACCTTCAAGGCACTTGTCTGAGAGCAAACACTGCAGCTCTGCCTGTGGGGCCTGCACCGCCTGCCCCAGCGGCAGCCGATGCCTCCACCCAGATGGATCTGCTGAAGGTCAAGGCTGCAGCACAGACCTCAGGCTGCAGAAAGTGCCCAGACCTTCCTCCTGGGGTCCAGACCTGCCTGCAAAAGGTGTGCCCAGCTGGAGGACCTCCTGCACCAGGTGACTGACCTGCAGTATTCTCTACAAGCCAGGCTATGCTGTGAAAGCCCAAGGTTAGATACCTAAGGTGTAGGTATTCACTTTAAAAATAGCTCAATGCAAAAATGCAATCTCAAATTGCCAGGCACTACATATCAGATTGGTTCACATGAATCACTAAATTCAGGGGGGAAAAAATGTGCATGGCTATTATTGAAAATAGCATTTACCCAAAGCTGATACTGTAAACCACCAGACATTTGTTATGCTTGGGATTTCCAGAAAATCTAATTTCTGCCTTAACTTGTTGAACGGAGGCCAGCTGAAAAACACAAGACCAAACACCAATAATCAAACATCCTATCTGGGATTGCAGCCATTCACAGATACTTAAGATTGCAACAAAGGACAAGGGTAGAGAGGTATTTTTTTGTGGAAATGAAACAATTTAGTGAGAGTTTAATAGCACTAGAAAAAAAGCTGATCAGAGGGATTCAACTCACCATGATCTTTCCAAAAGCTGCTAATATCCAGCAGACACTTTGCTAGGGCACAATAGGTATATCCATCACCAACAAAACAGAAGCCCTTGACACAACAAGAGCTTCTTTTTATTTCAGAACAGAAAGGTATTTCTAAAACCCTACACAACATATCCAAGAATAGTTACATCTTTACAAGGACAAGTAGAACACACATACAGTAAACGTGTCTTTATGTAGTTTATTTTAATATCAATTTTAATGAAAATAAGATTTTCTTAAACTATTTTAACGTGTATGCCTCATGAAGTTCAACAAATGGAACAGCAAAGTCCTGGCCCCAGGGAGGAACAACGCCATGCACCACGACTGGCGGGTGCAACATGCTGGAAAGAGCTTTGCTGAAATGGACCTGGGGCTCCTGATAAACACCAAGGTGGCCGTGGCCAGCCATCTGTCCTTGCAGCTAATTAGGCCAACAACCTCCTGGGTTGCATCAGGCAGAGCACCTCCAGCAGGCTGAGGAGAGGGAGGCGACCCTTGCCCTCTGCTCTGTGAGACACAGCTGGAGCACTGGGTCCAGTTCTGGGCTGAGTCCAGGTGAGACAAGGACACACTGCAGTGGGTACAGCAAAGGGCCACTAAGGTGATCAAAGCTTTGCAGCATGTGACATGTGAGGAGAGGCAGAGAGAGCGGGGCCTGTTCAGCCTGGGTAGGAGAAGGCTTAAGGGTATCTTATCAGGGTGTACAGATACCTGATGAGGAGGGGAAGAGAGAGGAGAGTGAAGACAACTGAGCCTGGCACATCACAGTGGTGCCCAGTGACAGGACAAGAAGCAACAAACAAATTGAAAACCAAGATATTATGTTTAAACCTTGCTTGACTGCTGAAGCCTGTCAAAGACAGGAAAGGTCAGGAGTTTAGCAGCAAAGAAGACTTCTGGCCTTCATCAAAAGACCACCAGAGTACACCAGACGACCACCCAAGGACTCCACTACACATGCGAATAGGGGCAGGAACTACATTAATGATTCTTCAGAGACCTGATGAATATGCAAGAGCCTTATGGGAAATGAAATTAATATGTACATATCCCACTAAAATAATCACACTGCCAGCAACCCTTGGTGTGTATGTGTGTTAGGCGGAGTGATGCCCCCCACACCCGGCGCCCTAATAAATAATACCTGTTTCATAACTTTGGTTATTGAGTTTTCACTGCCTCAACACTGTGTATACTACCCTGTTACGCTACAGGCATATACTAAGGAACATTTTATTTCTGTGTATACCACATGATAAGTAATTGCTTAAAAACCACACAGGTAACATCATATATCTGTACTAGCTCACCTGCCCTCCTGTCACTCTGCTCTGTGCTCTCACTTTTCTCTGCCAAGAAGCTTAGGTTCATAACTACAAACAGGAGTCATCTAAACAATGGATGAACTCCTTCTATCAAGGTAAAATCCTGCCTAAAATAGCTACTAGCAAGCTTTCCATCACAGGTGCCTTCATCCTGAGCCACAAGGTTGTACACATTTGTAGGTTCACTGAAGACTGGAGGTGGGAATAAGGGACATTCGGTGATACAACAGGGTTCCTACAACAGAACTGAGAGCCACCGCACTGAATGTGGACTGTTTCCCTGGGGTGTTCCTCACCTCCCCCTTTCACTGATGGCAGTTTCTTCCTTTAGTCTTGCTTCTTTTTACTTATTCCAGAGATTCTTTTTCTTTGCCTAGCTATTTGCTTTACTCAGTCATCTTAGTCTTCATAAATCGTGTGATAGAAATTACTTGCTCTAGGCTCCTTGGGCTGTAAGGCACCCTTTGATATACAGTATTAGTGAGGGATCATGATCAGAGATGGTGTAAGCATGCTACCACTTGCTTGAATTTGTAGGTTTTAAGGTTATATATGCAAGGAAAATTATGTAGAAAAAACAGGGACAGAGAATAAACCAAACTGGAATATTTCTCTCGCATGTTACAATGACATTCATAATGCTATGCCACACTTTCAGGCTGAAAACTTTTTTTCATTTGAAAGAAAAATCTTACTGTGCTGAGTACTGATTTTTCTAATAAAAAAAGATCTCCATAGCTACAAACACATACTATGATAGGACACAATGTCAATTAGCTTTGTATCATCCAAACTTCATACATTCAGTTTGCTGCCATTACAAATTAAGGTGTATTTGGGAAACATCATGTTGGTTAGAGATACAAGCTTTCCTCATGTCATTGTAAAACCCAAATATAGTAAAAGTTGTCATGTTCTGAGATGGAACAGAAAAATTAAATATTGTCCAAACATGAAAGAGCACCCACATGTGATTCTTATACCCGCATTTAATGAGAATTGTGAAGAATGGCTTGAAACAAAAGAACAAAGTTGTCATTCTCCACCATTAGGAAATGCTAGGATCTGAGAGGAGAAAATAAACAATGCATGCTACAGGAAAGGAATGAATCTCAGCAAAGAGAATAAATGAAGAATGACCACAGTATCAGCGTGTCAGAAAATAAAAGGAGTATATGGAGCGAAGCAAGGTAAAAGAGGAATAAACCCAGGCTACAAATTGTATCACAAGCATTAATAGAGTGACAACAGAAACATGAAGTTCAAAAAAATATTTTTGGTCATTTGCTTTTAGTTAGACCCTCTTTCTTAACCAACACTATTCTGCTGGTTAAAGGACACACACCATACCACATCAATTCAGTTCTGGCGTATGATTAGTAAAATAGAAAGATGGCCACAAGAAAAGAAAATATCTTGTCATCAGTTCTGTTGGCCAACACACTAACTGGAAGTGTTCTGGGAAGAGGGTTTTTGGTTGTTTTTTTCTTTTTTTGCAACAGATTGGAAAAAAAATGCTAGTCTTACAGTGTGCAATACTAGCAGTCAGGCAAAGAAGCCCCCTGAAGGGTGGAGGAAACTTTAACTGTGCCACCTACTGTGGGCACACTGTTCCAGGTTACAGCTCTAGGATGCTGTTAGTTATGTGAGCACTGCAAGCAGCTTCTCTTTCCTCTCTAACCTCCTGAGCATGCCAACTGCTAAGCAAGAACTATGTTCTTCTAACCAAAATGGATTTCAAGAAACAGTCTATCACAGTAAGCAAATGACTGCATAAATATCCACACTTGCTTACTAAAGGTAAAAATCTACAAGTAACATACCATGACATTTATTTATACTGGACAAGCACAGCTGTAAGCATACAGGTTGTCCAGTTATTTCCACCACAACTACACTAATGCAGAGGTCAGAGGCAGAAAGCACAGGCATGTCATATTTTTCAACATCACTGAAATGCTAGGGAGAAATAAAACACATCCGTCAGAAGACAACTGTTAATTATAAGCAACTCAGTTCACCTTTTAAGAAAATGTATAATAAAACAGACTTAAGTATGTACCAGATAGCCTTTTAGTTAGAGGAGCCTGATTATGTAAAATTAGAGGAGGAAGAAAGCATAGTAATTCGCTTTAAAAAAAAGAAAAAAAAACTCTTCAAAAAAATATAATAATGCTACCTTGAAAATCAATACAGAAGCCTTTAATAGATCAGCAGTTCTAAGTAAGTGTGTTGATAATCATTCACAAGTTATCAAAGCTAATAAAAATTACACTGCACCTTACAAATCCATTCTAGAGAATTCACTAATTTAACATTCAAATTCAGCATACTTTTCTTTGCTCTAAAACAGAGAATTACATCTCTATCGGAAACAGGAAGCCTTTAAAATTAAAATATACTATGATTTATTTATTTTTTTTAGCAAACATGTTTCAACTTACTTGATTGAGTTTCTGAAATGGTCTTCAGCTGGATTTTTTACTGTACAACTGTTCAGCAACCATAGATCTGCTTCAGCAGAGTTATCTAGAAGAAAGGATAGAAATCCATATCAAACTGTCAACTCCTACTTTATAGCATATAAAAAAGATCAAAATTAGCAGTTATCAATAAAATGACTATTCATAAAATGACTCTAACAATTACATTCTTAGAAAGGCTTTTTGCTTTGTTGGTTTTGCTTGTTTCTTTTTGTTCGTTTGTTTTTAAATCAGAGCACTTCCATTAGCACTTATTTTTTTGCAAAGAATGAACAGTTATCCCATTTATCAGCTGAGATGTCAGTAGGCTGCACATCATGGCAAACAAACTAAGGAAAAGGGGTTACTGCCAAAAAATGAATAATCCCTGGCCTATAAAAAGGCAGAAAGATTACAAAACTGCAAAGGTGCTTTCTGAAAATCAAGTAAGTGGTTAACAAAAGCAGTAACAAAACAGAGCAACTGCTTCCATTTATTGTGAATTATTAACAAATACAAGAGAGACAAACCAGAATAAAGCATGAGTCTCTACTAAAGAGAGAAGCCAAAGCAGTTATTCTGGAAAGAAATATGCCTTTTTCTAGTTTAGATTATATCTTAATTATGGTATAATTACAGTTCAGCTATTTCCAGATAGAAGATATTCATGCATTGAACATCTGCCTCCACTCAGATAAGCATATAAACTCCTTCCAAAAGCAAACCTTTCTGTATGTTCACACCTCACTGATATCTGAATACATTCACACAACTGAATCCCACTATTACCTGCAGAAGCACATACATGTACATGAACTCTAATCCTGTAAAAATATCCCTATCATACAGATTTACTATCATAGCTGTCTTTCTTGTAAAGTCAGAATTTCTCTTTTCCAAGAAAGGAACGAAGATAATTCATCTCAAAGACTCGAGTGCTCTATCATTGATCAGAACAGTTTACATCGGTGTGGATAGGAAAACTTGTGCCACTCTTGCTACTGTTCAGCACATCCTGAGTATTGAAGTATTTTCAAATAACATAAGCCAATGAATAAAGACATCATCACTTTTAGGTTGCTGTACTTGAACTGACATCCTGCTAAAGCAGAAGAAAGCCTATAATGATTTAAGCATGTTTACATGTGCCCTTGTCTCAGACATATCGACATAAGCATGAATATCCTTTCCCCCCCAACCACATATACTTATCATTCTAAACAATAAAAGAGAAAAACCCTTTTATTAAACCTTCTGTCTCCACCAGCATCGTCTCCAAAGAAACTACGCTTTTCAATTAACTATCAGTCACTTAACCTAGGAAGCAGTAAAATGAAATTAACCCATAAAATAGCAACTGAAAGGAACTCTTATGCTAGATGACAGAAACCATTAACTTGCATCAAACACTGGTCTCTGCTTAGACAGGCAAAGGCTACAAAGGAGTCAAATATAACATTCAGACCTCCAGCTATTTTAAGTGTAAAGCCAACGTACCAGTATCTGACCCTATCTTTTGACAGGTTGGCAAAGAACAAGTTCCATTTCAGTGTATACCATGTCAAAAAAAAAAAAAAAAAAAAAAAAAAAAAAAAAAAAAGAATCGCTCCCCCAACTCAGACAGCATGAAAACAATTCAATGTTTCTAGACTTATGAACTTACCGTCACTGTTAGAAAGATACATATCAGTTTAAAAAAATTGATTAGAAGTGATGTACAAAAAGCAAGGAAAAGTACAGTTTCAAAATCAGAAAGAGGGTGAACTGTTGACCAACTCAGTTTCACCAAGTATGAAAACAAGCACTTTTAACACAAGGTTTTCTAGTAACACTGTCAAACCTTTGTACTTCTTATTATTTCCAGCATGAAATATTTATAAATTCAGCTGCACATCCATGATGCACCTACTTGAAAATCACAGGTGGTACCATAGACCCAAAGGCCATGGATACCTTTAGCAGGCTACAGAACAGTTCCAGCATTGTAAAACCATGCAATTTCAAGCTACAGAGCTGCCATTATTCAGAGGAGAGATGGTGTAATGCATGGAACACCAGTTCTGGACTTGCTTTCAGTTCCTCCCTGTATAATGCTCTTCATGTGTGGAGCCTATGTGGAATAGGAGGTGACAGCCTCACTACCACAACACCTTTACCCTAAAGCGAGAATAAACAACCTTTCTTTGAAATGGTATTGGAAGAATACATTAAAGTTTAGGAAGACTTAACACACTAACCCAATAGGAACCATTTCACATGATGCTTTGCACTCCAGGCCGCTGATATATTAACTGCTGGGTTGGGATTCTAAGGGACAGCAACAGCATCGCCTGCACACATTTTACACTAGGTCTCCCAAATTCATTCCAACCCATTCCTTCATGGGTTTTACCCTTTGCAGAATAGAGGGTGTAGAATGAATTCTTCTGCAGAAAGGAATCTTCTGAGCAGTTTATGTAAAATGAGGTCTCAAAAATCTACATACCTAAAAATCATTTAAGAGAACAGAAATGTAGCAGAGGCTTGCCCTCTCCTTAAACTAGTATTATTTAATCGCATCTGGCTGTTCTGTTCCTGTCTTTATTTTTTAATCTTATTAATTCATTCTATTATACTGTTTTGTTTGTTTTGATTTATATACACACACGTGTACAATATTAAGTTACAAGATCTATCTACTAATCAAAGTTTGTATCAGTCCTTTAAAATGATAGCTAAATTTTCTTAGATCCTGCTGCACTGTTTGTGCACAAAAGAATTACATTTATTGGTGTAGATTTAACTGAACCTTTTGTATTTTCTCAATTTCTATGTCAACATTTTATTTACAAACAGTATTCAGGTCATAGGAAAATATGCTGGTTTACATTGCAGGGGCAACTTGTCAGTGATCACCTCTGGCTTTCAGAGGATTTGATGCACTTACACTAAATGCAAGCAAGACTGATGGATATTCTGAACAAACAGAGCAAAACACCAGATCAGACATGGATGTATAAGCAAGACATCCTGAAGCTTCATAAGCACTAAACATTAAACAACAGTGGGGTGAAGGGTCTTTAGGAGCAGTGTTCTGATGTGACTCACCACTAGGAGACAGGTGATCGTGACAAATAGCTCAGGCCTCTAACACCATACACAGGCAGGATCAGAAAGACCTGAGGTTTCCCTGTACGCTCCGAGACAAATTATGCGAACAGTTTTAGGTCTGGATGGTAAACACTGCATGAATGTAGTGCTGCGCCTGCTAAAGCAGCCCGTGCAACATTCCTCGGAGGGCCTCCACCTGCCAACCTTTCCAACTCCGCCACCCACCTCGTCAGATCACAGTGGAGCTGGGACTGATTCACTTGGCATCCTCCACCAGACAAACTGCAGCGTAGGAGAGGTTTGTGTTTGGGAATACTCATAGCTCTTACTGAGGAGGACAACCTCAGCATTTTCAGGTTTCACTAGCAAGCCATACATACTGTGACAGAAAAAAAAACCTGAAGTAAGGACCACAAGGGGCACAGCGACCATTGGTTGTGGTAGTGAATATGTGATACAGATTCACTTCTCTACACTCTGCAACAAACTTCTTTTCGCTGACAGGATTTCTTTCTTCACCTTCTTTTTTCTATATATTCAGTCTAATGATCCTGTTTAAATGACCGTATTTTGCAGCTCACCATTTTTTGATGAACTACCAAAACAGAATTTCTTGTATGTTAAGACACCTAAAATCAAGTTACACCACAAATCAGCATTATCTTAAATGCTCAGAAACACAACTCAAAACCATGGCCTTTTTGCTCTGTGACATCTTTTCCGTGAAAGAAAAGCTACACTGGAAATAAGCCACAGAGTCTATCATACTCTCTGCAAAACAACATAGAGTACAAAGAAACCTAAAGGTCATGGAAACTTTTGAACACTCAGCTTAATTGGGAAGCTCTGGAAAACATGAATTGACTGGATTATGCAATACCAAGAGGGTAAAATGGCAAGAGTCTGAAACATCATTATACCTACAGAGGAAAACAGTATTTACAATTCTTTTTTAAATAGCACTTTTGGGTTTGTTATCATTGTAGAAATCGTAAATCAGCAGAATTTAAGGCAACAGTAGTAATACTATCAGTTAAAAGTAATTTGGCTTGGTTTTGCCTTGATGTTCTAACTTCTTCAGTTTTGTTTTGTTTTGTTTTCCAAAACTTTGTTTCCTTCCCATCCACCCACCCCCTCCCACCCCAAACCACATCTATTTAAAAATCAAAACACACACAGAATGCTGAAGTAGAAGGAACATGGGCAGAGAAGCCCTAAAAGAACAGCCTTTCCTTACTTTCTTTATTCAGCACATCACTCCTTTCTACATTGAAACCACTACTGAATTTGCTCAGTACTGCTTGCTCAAAAAATGTGACTCAAAGTTTGCATGATGTCCTTTTAAAACCTGTATATCAATCTGTGTAACCTCAATCTGAAAAAAAGGTTTTTCCCTATAATCACAGAAAATTCTCCTGTGGCATTTTCTTCCACCTCTCCTTATCCTGTTCTTACTAAGTTCATTGTGAGTCTTCCTCCTCACCTTCTTGAATTTTCCCTTATTTCCAGCTCTCTTGCACAACAAACATACCCCATGCTTCTCTGTATTCATAGCTATATTCTAGCCTCTGTTCCCATCCCTGAACCTGCCCACTAATGCTGTGTCCTGCGTGTTCTCAATTCCCAAACAGCTTTGCCCCCTTCCTTTGATCTCCTGCTGGGAATTTTACATCCTGGAGCAAGACCTAGTAATGCCCAAGTTTTATATTTGGAGCATGTACTCACAGTTGGACTCCATGTCAATCATCCCCCACCCAGATTAGGCATTGGTTAATTAATCATCTCTTGGGTCACCGGGCGTCAAGGGACCTCAGCAAGTATTGGGAAAGAAGCTTTCTCATAAATATTAGCTCAGAATTGCTGTGAGTCATCAGAAGGTACATCTTCCTCTAGGGACATGAAGTTGGGTTATTTGTTTCTAGACAATAGGCTTTGTTTGACACTGGAAAAACAGACAAGGTTGAGAAGAACAAGAGA